AGGGAGGGGGGGTGGTCTCTGCCCCTCGGATTCTCCATGGAAATCATCTACCACCCCTCCAGGGCACAGGTTCATCCCTGCTGCTCCCCTCAGATGGGTCCAAGGTGTGTTTTCATGGCCAGGGGTGGCTGTGGCACCATCCCTGGGCACCCATTCTGGGTGGGGGACCCGGGGGGAGACTCTGTGCCCCCCACCCCTCCTCTCTCCAAAGACTGAGAAGGAGGAGGAGGGGGTAAAGTTTCTGCAGGCCAATGCCAGGGGTTAAAAATAGACATTTTCTAAATTAGCCTCCACCAGAAGTTCAAGAGGAAATCCAGGTTTAGCTGAGGCTACAAGAAAGAGCTGAAAATAACAATAATAATAGTAATAATAATAATAATCATAATAATAATAATAGTGATGATGATAACAATGATAATAATAAAAATAAAAATAAAAAGTGATTCCTGCAAAGGAAAGGAGAGCATGTTGAGCAGGGAGAGAAGGAGCAAAGCTGGAAAACAAAAGCCTTTGAGGAGGGTAATGCTTTCCAGCTGCAAAAATACAGCCTGGGAGAGGAGCAAGTGCTTGCGTCACCCCCTGCCCTGTGCTGCCCTGCTCGGAGCTGGGGCCCGTCCGGAGACCCCCGGCTGGACCAGGACCCTCTGCCCCCCTGGCTGTGGCAGGGTGGGTGTGAGGGGAGTGTGGGGCTGGAAGTCTCTGGATTGTTTTGGCCGTTTTCCCTTTGGATTCCTCTTGGAGCGTTGGGCTGGACTCAGCTCCGGCTCGGAGGGATGCGGAGCAGCGGGAGAGCGACAGGAAAGGGGTGCTGGTGATGGGACAGGGAGGGTTGGACCCCCTGGAGGAGGAGAATCCGGGGGTCTGCGGCTGTGGGTGGGGGGCGAGGGCCCCTGAGCTATTCTGCCAACGCTCCCCATCCGCCCCTGCTTGGATTGCTCCCCCGGTCCTGTGACTCTGACTCAGCCACGCAGGCGCCAGCCAAGACCTGCTTTTTTTGGGGAATTCTTGCACATCCCTTTGCTGAAGTGTTTCTCGCCCCGGCAGGGCCCTGCCGCCCCCTCCCCACGTCACAGGGGGGTTTGGGGATGCTGGCTGGGGAGCAGGGGAGGGCGGTGGGTGCTGGCTGTGACAGCAGGACTCAGTCTCGGGGGTAGAACGTGGCCCTTGGCGCCCCAGTGTACATTTTTAAGTGGTTTTTGCTCATCACAAACGCCTTTTACCCCAGGAGTTGGGGTGGGGGGTCCTGGCTGGAGCAGGAGCCCCACGAGCGCTGTGCCAGCCCCGGCGCGTTGGGCAGCGCGTTGGGAGCTCTGCGCTCGCCTCGGTTTGGGGTTGATGCTCATTCCTTGGCTCGGGATGTTTCCACTTGTTTTTACGAGCTGCCTCACGCCGGGTGGTGGCTGCAGCCTCACCCTTCCGGAGGGGGGTCACTGTCGGCATCACCGCTGGCTGCGTGTCCCCATCCCCGTCCCCAGGGCCGGGACACCGAGGGCTGGCCTGGGTAATTCAGGGATGGGGCTTGGGGTTTGTGCACCCCAAACTCTCTGTGTGCTCATCCCATGGCCTCATCCCAGCCCAGCAGCGTGGATGGACTTGGCCGCAGGGTGGGTGGGGGCATTGCAAAACCTCCTGGCTTGATTCATGTTTTCCCTCCCGAGCTCCTGTGTTGGTTAATAATTCAGTGGTGTCTGGCCCTGCTCCACTGGGGCAGTCTGGGTCTCACTGACCTTGGGGTCCTGGGGCTGGGGGGCTGCTGTTCCCCATCCCTGCTCCTCCAGTGCTCTCTGGGTCTCACTGACCACAGTGCTCAGACTGGGGGGCTGCTGTGCCCCATCCCTGCTCCTTTAGGGCTGTCCAGGTCCTGCTGGCCTTGGCTGCTGGGGTTGGGAGGCTGCTGTGCCCCATTCCTGCTCCTTCCCCCAGCGCTCTCTGGGTCTCACTGACCTTGGGGTCCTGGGGCTGGGGGGCTGCTGTGCCCCATCCCTGCTCCACTGGGCCAGTCTGGGTCTCACTGACCTTGGGGTCCTGGGGTTGGGAGGCTGCTGTGCCCCATCCCTGCTCCTTCAGGGCTGTCCAGGTCCTGCTGGCCTTGGCTGCTGGGGTTGGGGGGCTGCTGTGCCCCATCCCTGCTCCTTCCCCCAGTGCTCTCTGGGCCCCTCTGACCTCTGTGTCCTTCTGACCAGGGCTGCTGTGCCCCTGTCCCTGCTCTGCCCCGGCTGTGGGGCTGCAGTGTTGGGGATGTGGGGTCTTGGGGGCCACTAATCCAAAAAACAGCCCTGCAAAGCCCTTGGGCTGTCTGGGAGCTGCAGCCCCTCAGCCCAGCCTGTGGCCTGGCGGGTGCAGGAGGGGCTGAGCAGCGCTGAGCACTGACCTGGTGGCGAGGCAGGAATTCAGGAGCGTTGGGTTTATCCGATTGAACAGGCTTTCACTGGTTTAATTAAATACTCACACGCTGCGTGCCAGGTGCTGTCTCTCACCTGCTCCAGGCCCCGGGGTTGGTCCCTGCAGCTCGGGATTAGCTCTGCTCCCACCTTGCCCAGCGGGATCTGCCCTTGGCCCCCCCAGCTGCCACGTGTCCCGTCCGGCTGCTGCTGCTGGAGCCCCTTCCCTGCTGCTTGCTCCCTTTTCCAGCACCCACCTTACAGGGCTTCTCCTGGTATTCCTGGATGAAATCCCAGGGTTTCTGCAGGATGAATTCCCAGGGTTTCTGCAGGATGAACTCCCAGGGTTTCTGTGGGGTGAACTCCCAGGGTTTCTGCAGGATGAACTCCCAGGGTTTCTGCAGGATGAACTCCCAGGGTTTCTGCAGGATGAATTCCCAGGGTTTCTGTGGGATGAACTCCCAGGGTTTCTGCGGGATGCTCTCCTAGTATGCACACCAGACGCTCTCCTGGTTGTGTGTGATGTCTCTGGCTTGTCTGGGGGCAGCAAGTCCCGTCTCCCTGGGGAGCAGAGGATGGGTTGCCGTGGGTGCTGTGGGTGCTGTGGGTGCTGTGGGTGCTGTGGGTGCCCTGTGGCTCCATCTGGGGTGACCAGGGCAGATCCTTGCAGCTCCCAGTGTGTTTGTGGCCCCCATGGTCTCATTCCTTGGCTGTGTCGGTGTTTGTGATCCCGGGGGGCTCCTG